CCACTGGTTTGGAAACAGAGTAGTGGATGAATGGAACAAGTTACCAAATATCATCATTAACTCAAATACGCTGAATAGCTTCAAACATAGGTTGGATGCTTATATGAGCAATAGGGGTTGGGTGTAAACGGGACTGCCCAGTATGGGCCAATAGGCCCGCTGCAGTTTCCTCCATTCTTATGTTATGTTTTTTAATGCTGTATTTAATAACTTATTTTTATGAAGTTGTGCCTTTCTAGACCTGTAAGCTTGCCTGCATTTCTTCAGTGAACCCAATAAAAGCAGTCATATTCACTGTATACAGTAATACTGTACTTAAGTTTTGCTTTCCTTTTATTGACTAAGTGCTGGTGTCATGTACAATACTGAAACAGTACCATGCTAAAATTGTTTTGGACCTGTGCAGTTTGATCAAAACCTACGCTAACCTAATTTAAACCCTCAAGATACAAGTGGTGTGTGCAGCAAATGTCCAGATACAAGTAGTGTGTACAATCCAATAAATAATAAGTACCTACATAGAGCACTGCACGTACCTTTAACAACCCTGATACGGAAGAGAACTTACAGTATTGATGATTTAGATGTCTATTATAATGATGATGGCGATGATGTTGAAGTTCTTGGTGTTACTGCTTTTCTTCTGTGGCAACACAGACAACCAGTGGGTCATCTGGATCCTAAGATGAGGAGGGTGAAGCAGTATACGAGGTCGACTTCATGCGGAGGAAGGTAGCTGTTGCAGGAGAGGTAGAAGGCTGGCATGTGGTGGAGTCATGGGGTTCCAATTCAGTCATGGAAGTCACTTTCTTTATGCTGAGAACCTAGTTATGGGAAGCTGTTATGCTTTTTTCTTTAATTCTTTATAAACCTCTGCAAAAGGAATTGCAGCATTTTCTACTTTTCTTTTGAACTTAGTGCTACATTCCATACAAGGATCAAATTTATAGATCAAGTCAGTTAATGCCTTTATTACCGTTTGGTGGCTAGAAAATTTGTAAAATGCGCTGCCTTTTTCATCTTTGTTTCTGTTCTCGAGAAGATTAGATACTGTCTTTAGACCGACTTCACGAGTACATGTACTGTACTTAGATTCACAGCAACAAGGACTCGAGTGTAATATTCTCCTTATGCTACACTTACTAACAGACACTTGGCTTACACCTTAGTAGTGTACTGCTAAACCATGGGGAGCTATAGGCTTACAGGGGTATTCATAACCTAGCCTGACATGGGTGAAGCATTCATTTTATTAGGGGATTGAGGTTTTCCGTAATTTTGTGAAATTGACTGATTATGCAGCTTGACTGCAACATATATATGGTATAATGCTTAGCTTTCACTTTGTAAAAGTGGTTGGCAATAGGAAGGGAAACCAGTTGTAAAATCAGGTAATCCGGCTAACCCATGCATGTGTGGAAAATTTCTATAAAAATATATTCACAATTCTGTCTTTCACGTGGTTGAAATTCTCCCCATCAGATGTATAATTTACTAGTATTTGGAAGTGTTGTGCCTCATTCCTCCTGTATTTTGTTGAATTCAGGTACCTGTACTTAAGACACCTAATCCAGGCATTAGGCTGTAAATGAAGGACAGATCTTGAAATCCCATTTTATAGTTGAAATAGTTCCAATAAATAATGAATGTCAGGAATCTTAGAAACCCTGGGTTTTCAACCTATAGAATTGAATTAAATGTATCTTGTTATTATGTCTTTTTTACTCTTATCCTCACCACTGATCGGCTCGGTTATGCACTGGCTCCTTAATGTATCTGAACCGCCTCTGGTGCTGGTCAAGACTGGTTTTGGAAGAGCTCACACTCGGTGCTGTCACAACGCTCTCTGGCAAGTTGTTCTAAGAGTTCACAACTCTCACTCCGAAAAAGTTAGCCCTCACAGTTTTCTGGACTTAAGCTGTGACCCCTTGTGGGGCGAGCGTCCGCCAGCTCCAGGTAAGGACACTCGACTGAGTAGTACTCTTTAAGATGTTTATACACCTCAATTAGGTCCCCCCTTGCCCGTCTGTAGTATACGCTAGGCAATTGCAGGCGCTCTATTCTCTCTGGGTAGCTGAGGTGCCGAAGTGCAGGCACCAGTCTGGTGGCCCTCCTTTGAACAATTTTTAATCATAACTCAGGGACCAAGCGGGGTGACAGTACTCCAGGCGGGGAAGCAACTCTCTTGAAGATCGTTACAAAGACAGACCATCTAGATAACTGAACGACCTTCTTAAGACCAAACAATTTAGTTGCTTGTTTCACCTTCTTCTCACAATGGCCCGAGAGCTTCAGTTCATTGTCAACATACACACCCAGGTTCTTTTTGCAATATCTCAATTAGTGCAGTTTCTTCGTCCCATCAGGACATATGATACGCCTCCTTACCGTTGTTATGTACCAGGTGCATCCTCTTACACTTCGTGACATTGAATCTTAGCAGCCGTTTCTCTGACAATTCTTGAAGCCCACAGAGATCTTTCTGCAGCTCTTCACAGTCTGCTTGGTTCTTGATTTCCCTAAATAACTTGGTATTGTCCACAAACATTTGTATGGAGGAGTGTATAGCTTCTGGTATGTCAGTTATAAAAACAAACAACAGTGGTCCCAATACACTGCCCTGTGGTACCCCATTTGTCACAGGCACACATGACAATTTTGTACCATTAATCACCACACACTGCTTGTGATCATAAAGAAAGTCTCTGATCCACACTAGGACACTTCCTAGTGTGGGAGTACCATTAATTATAAGTATTTGGACATGCCTGTAAAAATAATTATGGATTGATTTTCCTAATAGTACAGTACAGTACAGTACAGTACAGTACATGTAATTAGTTACCCCCGCTCTTTAAACAACTTCGTTATAAAATCACCCCAATGCACATGGATTATAAGCTACTGTATTTATCAAAGATTTTTACTTTAATTTAATACAAAAATGTTTAATAAAACACTTAATGAATCTACTTATAATTTATACAAATCCTTTAATTTTTCAATAGAAAAGGTCTCAATGTTTTTTTGAAAATGTATGTTAGTACATAATCTACACATTTCCACTCTGTCCACAGTAGACAATCTCTTAGTATTCAAACAGCAAAATAGGGTCCATAAAGCATTCACTACAGTATTTCAAAAGTATTTAAAGTATCCAGGTTACCTGACCTCCTCTAATTTATCTAACAAAGAATCTATTACAGTACAGTATCTGAAATTTTATAGGCAAATTGTTGTTCCATATACCTATGTGGAAAAATGACAGGCTAGAAGCAGTATTGTCAAATTCTATACAGTATCATATTTTACGGCATATAAGACGCACCCTCATTACACCAGGAAATATTTAGGAAAAAACTTGCATGAATTTTCCTCCTGTAGCCAGTTTTCTTAAAATAATATATACAGTACAATACCAGTAAATTTGAGGAATAAATAAAAATAGTTCCACTACACACAGGAGACAGCTCAAAACAGCTGAGAACCCCCCCCCCCTGCCCTCTTCTAAACAAATGAAGAAGTTTATTCCCCTTTTATGTTTTTGATCTTATGATAAGTGAAAAGAAATTAATCTGTAAATTTTCATTTGTATCAGATATTTGTTGATTTAAAGATATATGTTGCAGGTATGACATTAATAGATAGTAACATTTGTAAGAGATCAAAAATGGTTACTGCTTAGCTCTGAAAAGTTGGGTGCCTGTTATACGGACACTAAACATTTTGGGTTATCATCATCAGTACAGTTATAAATCCCGCTTTTATATTTACAATATTTTTTTTTATTAACTAAAAGTAATAACACAGGTAATGTGTTTAAGTAAGAATTAAAATATTTGTAATTAGCCTACGGTAGGCCACAACTTCACATATACAATAGGATGCATGCTTTTTTTTTCCAGAAAAAAAAAGTGCCTTGTAAGCCGTAAAATCGTAAAATACGGTAAAAAAAATGCATACAAGTAGAATGCACTAGTTCCTCTGCATTGAAATGCAGGCACAGGGTATTTATTCAATCTGTACAATAGTATTTTTTTTACAATCAATACCACTAACCTACAACCAGTTTAACATAATATGCAAGGTGCTATGACAAATTACAATGATACACATACACTACAGCACTGGTTTCTTTTATGAAGGGTACGTGTTAACTGTAAGAACAGTGTAGGACCTAATAAATGTACAGTTCTACAAGTCTCATTACTACTTCCATAAAATGTAGAACAATGTTGTTTTTGTCTGCACTTCAAGATACAGTACTTAGCAACAACTTTTAAAATACTCTACACAAATATACTAAAGATATAGCATTTTTCCTTACCTACATCATTTAGTAAAGATTAATTTTTCTGTACAGGTACTGCATGTTTTGATACTATACCTAATTATATTTTCAAAGACATGAATGCTTTAACTAGTATTACACACCTGCATGTGACAATACAGGAACACCATACATTTGAGCTTACAAATTATATTTTATAAAGGATCTAATTACACTGTAGTACAAAACACCATATTTTTGTACATATTCCACATACCGCCCATTGTTATACCATACAACAGTTTCTTATCCAATATCCAGTTTGCACACTTCTGTAAATGCCTATTTTGTTGCCATGAAATATTGCTTATGTTCTGAATAAAGTCTAAGCAGATTGCTGGCCACTCAGTCATACCATAAGCAATGTGAATATTATAAAAAATAAAAAGAATAATAAAATAAAAATTTTGAATGCCATTGAATTCGGCAAACTCACAGTACCATGAGAAGGTATTCAGTTGACAATCAAATCTTACCTACTGTATCTATACACACACATTACCAGTGTATATACATATACAGTACAATAAAAACTCTTAATTCCCAATTAACTGGTGCACAGACACATTTGGTTATGAGAAACTGCCAAACATAAATCAAAGACCTCCAAAATGAAGCCATGCATATTCATAAATTTTAGAAAAAGCTAATATTAAAATATTTCATATGTTAGAGTAGAAATAATCTAAATTTTACTACAATATCTAAATACAAAGCTTCAAGGCAGACTTATAAGGTACTCCAAGTACATGTATAGGCCTGAAAGTTATCAGAGCACAGCTAGGCACAACATGACTAACCACAAGCCAGAATGCATATACAGTAATGTCATTTTTCCACTTATTCAATATCTGTGCTTTTTCTATGCAGATTAATTGAAAAAAAATTAATCAACAAAGTTGATCTCCATTTCAATTGAATTACTGTATAAAAGTAAACTTGACTAGTGGAGACAATGATACTACATCTCAAAAAATAAAATTCTTTACCAAGAAGTTTAATAAGATGCCATATCTTAAAGAGCACTTGTGCAATTAAAAGATGAAATACCTGTACACAAAATAAGGCTTCAAACAAACACTAAGAACTGGAAAACCCCAAAATAAATTGTACATAATATACAGTACCTGTACTGTACTTGCAAAGCTTATGATCTGACATATTACTGGGAGTTGCCAAAGGCAGAATAATTTATGTAACTAATGTTAAGATTCGTGGTACCAAAATTCTCAAGATCCATGAAGCCAATTATGGTCCAGATAATTCTCAAATCATCTGGAGAGCTTAGTCAAGATTTAAGAGGCTTTATATACTGTATGTGCCCTGATAATGTATATATAGTACCTGTGCTGTAAATTTCATGAATAAAAATATAGATGACATGACTTTGAAAAGATAAGGAAATATATGATAATACTGTACAAGAAAAATAATCTTTAGTACAGTAATCAATATCAATATCAAAGTAAAAGACAAAGAAGTCAATCACTCCAACAAGATCATACCATAAGAACACTGAATATCATTTGACATAAAAGTGACCATTAGGATTTTATGTAGAAATGCACAAAATATCTATGACAGCTTGTACCATATTCAATTACTTTTTTTTCTCAACTGTCATCTAATTTTATGTTACAATACTGGTGAATATAAAGAAGTATGTAGTGTATTGCATTAAACTACATAACTGAATGAATTGTAAATGTTTATGGGAAACATGAAAATTTTTCAAAAAGTATTAATTTTTAAGTTATGCAATAAACTTCATGTATAATAAATTCTGATGCTCTAGTCTCCATAAAGTGTAAGATATACCAGTTATAAAAACAGAGAAAAAATTAAAGAAGCCTACCAAAGGTCAAGTGGTAACTTCAAAGCCCATTCTTAAAAGGCTAACTTTAATTGATATAACTTCAAAATATTTAATGAAAACATGAAATCAGATTCTTGCTCAAAGATTTTTAAAAAGTTACATCCAAAATCCTCCACATATGATGCCTTTGACATACATGTACTGCAATTTATCATTAGTTACCAATGATCTTCAACAATTATTAAAGTAAATATACTGTACTGTACAGTAGAGTACAGTACTGTATAGCATAAATAACTAAGTTAAAAATACATATGTAAAGGCAAAATTCTAGAAGGAAGACTAGAATATTTTATTTAGAGAAGTTATTAATACATTAATATCTATTTTAAGGCCACAAGACATATCCAAAAATATTTTTTTTAGACAAAATTTTTATTACTATAAAGGCATAATAAGGATTTGTTTAGGAGAAACTCATACCAAGGTTCATTAGGGGCAAAACAAAGAAAACAATAAATTATGTAATCTATTATATTTAAGTGTGCTGTGTGACTAAGATGCAGTTGTCACAAAATAAATCCACTCTGTTTTTTCTAAAACCTCAGTCAATTTGGTATTGCTTTAAAACAGTCTTTTGAACCAAGTCACATTTATATACATTATAAGTAACAGAATATGGACTAAATTTCATTGTGTAATTTTTGGCTGACAACACACTAATGTTACTGAGAAAGCATGGAGAATGGCTTATTGCTTGTTAGATTAACAAGTTCAATCTATACAGAAATTACATGTATATACAAAAATCCATATTCTATTCATCAAGCATAACAAATGCCTTGATTACGATCTAATCAAAGGACTCAGTGGGAAAATACCCGTATTTCTGAGTGCTTACAGAAGTTTGTAAAGATGTATTACAATCAATTTTCTATTTCAAATAGAAAACTTATAAATGTAATTAAATATGTATAAAAAATACAGATATGAATAATAATATACATTTTAATGAGGATATCATAAAACATCCAACTACAAGCTGAAGGATGGAGCTCAAGAGAGCTTGTCAACGTTTATGAAATTCACTTACACACTTTTTATGCATATTTAATAATTATAATCAACAATGTCTTGCCTCAAATCTATGTAAAACTAATGTAATTATACATAATCAAAGGGAAACTACCAGGGGCAATGTTTAAAAAAAAATTTCAGCAAGATCTAAAAATACAGTATACTGTACTCACTGACAAACTAGATTTCCTTGACCTGGTCCCCTAAGATTTCCTGATACTAGTTATTATTCTTGAGCCTTGGGTTGCCATTTTCCTTTGCAGGGGTTGTCTGGGGTGAAGACATCATATGTTCCCTTCTCTCTAAATGCTTGCTTGTAGTGTGTTAAGCAGTACAAGTGCCCACCACCAACAGAAAACCTTCCGACACTGAAGATCAAAATAAGGCGTTATGACTTTCAATAAACCTGAATTTTATACAGTACTGTTCTCATATCCTACTGCTTTAATTAACAAAATTCAAATTCAAAGGAAATGAAAAGCAAAATTACTGAAATATACTTAATTTCATTTTATGTTATACAGTATGTGTGTTTTTAGTTCTAAATAGTGCAGTGAAAACCTAATGCTTAATTTACTTTTGTTGGGGTTTGGGAAAAATGAATTAGTTTGTTAATTTCATTAACTACCCACAATCAATTCAAATTTGCATTTTTTCTTTGTACAGCCCCTATGCAACTAGTAAAATAAAGCTGTAACACGCAGTTGTGTTTTATATACAACACTTGTACTGTACTGGGCCTGTGTTAATATACGTAGTCTCCCCCACACCCTCGAGACATGCTACCAAACTTCCTGTCTTTACATCCTCCTGCTATAAATATTCTACCTATATGTAATATCCTCTTCTGGTGAGTTTTGTCTCATTACACAGTCAAAGATGCATCAACCCCCACCCTGGCTCTCAAACTCTCAATTTTACCTGGCAATACTTGGTAAAATAAGACTACTGTATGTAATGGGGATTGTGATTGGTGAATCTATTTTTGGCTGTATCACTGGCAGGATAATTATTAAACAATCAAAGGTAGCATGTTTATAATAATAAACTATTCATCGCTATTTAAGATCATGAAAAGTTTCTAAATGTCCGTATATTTGCTTAAATAATAAAGAAATTAGATTAATGAATTGGCATCTCAACTTCAACCAGGCCTGCCACAAAATTCTCATATCTGATTTCCTCATTATTTAAACAAATACACGAACATTTGGAAAATTATCATGATCTTAAATAACGATGAATAGTTTGTAATTATAAAAATTATATTTTTGGACTATTTAATATTTACCCTGACAGTGAAACAACTGCAAATAGATCCACCAATCACAATCCCCATTACATACAGCCATACTTTACCAAGTACTTCCAGGTAAAAATACAAGTACAATAGCCAGGGTGGGGGTCAATGCATCTTTGGCTGACTGTACATAAGAAGGGTGTGTGCAATAGTAAATTGTAAAGGTGTGGGATGACTAAGAAACTAAAAATAAGAGAGGTTTCAATCTTTATGTACATGTACTTTAGTGAGTTTAAATATTTCAATCCTGACCTGAGTGGAGAGTTACACTTGCAGCACCTAAAGCACGTTTTGTGCATCAAACGTCCCGCTACCTCCATCTTCTCCATAGCATATACAGTACGGTTGCACTGTGCACATTTTTCACTGGTACCACCCTGTAACAAAAAGCTAATTATTGGAATACAAGTACTGTATGTTCACCTACGCTTCACTACCTCATTTTAAGAATACCTTTCCCGTACGTACACCCGTTTACACTATGATAATGTAATGTTCTCCCTTTGCAAACCCTTGTATGAAGTGATGATGACATGATCTTTCCTTACACACCCTTACACCTAATCACAAAAGAATTAATTCTCCCTGTACTGTACTCATATCTGCTGTGTACATGTAGTAGCTCTCACTTTTATTATCATACAGTAGAGTAACTACAGTAACCAATAATCCACACAGGTTTTTTCCACCAAACTGTAAAACAACATAGTATCAGCAGTAATACTGTACAGTACTGTACTTTGCTTTTCACTTAATTTATCATTTCCACCACTTATCAGGTTACTTGCTATTCAAGCAGCTTGTCTGTTCTGTAGTGTGTGGGGATGTGGTCAGATAACACAGATACAGGTGTAGTTATTTTATACAATGGCTGCCTCTTCCTGGATGGGACATTATGGGACTGGAGGTTGACACCTGTTCCCCTTTGCCCATTCATCTGGGTCTACGAGATTGCACTTGCCTCCACTACTTTTCCCTTATATATAATCCACCAACATCCATCCCCATTATTCCTCAAATTCTCTCTCTTCTATTTAAAGTATATCAGGGGTTTCCTGTGCTATACCCTCTGCATTACTATGTGATCTGGACTTAGGATATGAATCAGAAACACCAAGACAGTTTGCCTATGAAGCATCTAATAAGTGTTTCAGTGATGCATTGAAGATGCTAGAAACATGATTTTTTATTCAATCTAGAATATCTCCTGAAGAATTTTGACTCAAAGGTGTTGCTATTGTTGGATAATGCCCCAGGTCATGATGCAGAAATGCTTCAGTTCACGTATCCCAATGTGGAAGTTACGTTCTTGCCCCCAATACCACTTCAATTCTGCAACCAATGGATCAAGGCATCATCAAGACATTTAAGTCATATTACACGAGGAATGTCTATCGGCGAACAACTGAAGCAATGGATGCTGGTGCATATGAAACACTGAAGGAATTCTGGAAGGCATTTAAGATCAAAGACTGCCTAGACATTATATAAATGTCTTGGGATGAAGTGAAGCCTTCCACCATGAATGCTTGCTGGCACCAACTTTGGCCTGAAATTGTGGAACTTGCAAAGGAAACTGGAGGCGAGAGTTTGATGATAGGCAAAAAGAGGAGGTTAATGAACTGTTGGACTTGCATTTTAGAGAACCAACAAATGAGGAACTTGAAGAGCTTATAGCAGATGACAGTAAAAGTGATGATGATGAAGTGGAACCTGTAAAACCTAAATTAATAATTAAGGCGACCTCTGAATTCCTCTTAAAAAGCAAATGAACTTGGTGAGATGTGTTTCGACATTGATCCAATAATGGTGAGAAGTTTAAAGTTCAAAAGGGCCCTTCAAGATATTTGTGTGCCATACAGAGAAATTTTGAAAGATTTGCATAGAAAATGCAAATAAAAGAAAATAACAGATTTCTTCTTGAAGCCGCAGTCATCCCAATCATCAATATCGTCTGCCGAACTAGAATTCAGTGAACCCCAACCATCAACATCACCTGCCGATCTGGAGCCTGAAGCTGATGATCCATCGGCTTAAGAAATAAAAATAATACCAATTTGATCATCATTGGAGTCTTCATCAATCACCGTCATCAGAAGACTTCACAACATTTACGATATCATAGTCATCAGGGAATAGCTTACCCGGACAGGTCATCGACCCACAACGAGGCTTGGGGGCCAAAAAAATAAGAGTAAAAAGATATTAAAAATAGAAGAGAAAAAGGCTACAGTAAACCCTCGATAACTTGGCATGTACAGTATTAGCATAACTCGGGAAATGCCTAGATATATAACATTATCTGGGAAAATCTGGGCATATCTGGCCACCTGCATCACCTACTATGATGCTTCATTCTTTGCCTGCAGTGCTAGTGTTACTTTTTTACATTCAGTAATTACCTGTACACATAAATGGGTAGATAATTTTTTATTGTTGCATATTTGTAGGAGGTGGGAAGTGCCTCAATAAGTCGTAATTTGGGATAACTTGCAAGGCCAGAGTATGTGCCTAGTTATCGAGGTTTTACTGTACAGTATATTAATCTTCACCACGAAGATGCCGGAAAAACTAGCTTTTTGAAGTGAGGCAGATTGTAAGAGTATGGAAACACAGAAGAAGGCAGAGCATTCCACAGTTTGGCTGTGGAAGGAAAGAAGAATGTACTATAAAGGGTTATTATAGTGTGACTGACATCCACACAGAAACGGTGGGCACCACAGGCAAGACGAGTGTTTTGAGCCCACGGCCTTGCCGGCAGTACACAGGATGCCAAATCCACCGAACATTGCCCATTAAAGTACCTGTAAAAGAGAGAGAGTGAAGCAACATTGCAGCAAAGAGAAAGGAAGAGAAATTATCAACTAAAGGAGGAGAGTTACTTAGATGAAATGCCTTTGATTCTACCCTATTTAACAGTTGGACAGAAGAGCCACCCCAGATATGAAAGCAGTACTCCAAGTTAGGATGAATGAATCCCTTATACATTTGAAGCAACTGCTCAGGAGTGAAGTAGCTATGTCATCTGTACAGAATTCCCAGCTTTCGGGAGGCAGCTTTAGCAATGTTGTGGATGTGTGGCTTCCATGACATATTAGAGGAAATGGTGAGACCTAGCATATTTATTTTAGAATTTGGCATAATGATTGCATCCTGAAATGTGATTGGTGGGAGATCTTCTATTTTGAAAAGTGTAATTGGTAAATACAGTACAGAAATATGAATTTATAATGCTTATCGTTAATATTTTAATTAGTTTATGGAATGTTAGTTCTATTATCATCATATTTGTGCATTATGTAAATGTTTAAAAGGTATGCATTTCACATGATAAGAGTCCATATGCGACCACGATCCCACCACCCCACAGAAGTTAGTTTGCCCAACGCGCCATTTTCGAGGAACCTAACCCCCACATTATGAACAGATTTACTTATGATCAGAATCCAGGAACATATCCGTCATAAGCCCCTGCTGTATTCTAAATATCTTTTATTATTTCAAAGGTAACTAATTAACACTAATTACTCAAATTTTTAAATTGTGAACCCAGATCCTTAATTAACATGTAGAGTACAGTATAGTACCTTTATATGAAATGTGAAAAAAATCTATGGTAAGACCCCCCCCGTGTCAAAACGTATTTTTTTTTACTTGCTTTAATAAATCTTAAATTCTACTGGTCATGCTAGCAACTTGATAAAATTGGTGATTTTGCATCCCTGGTATAGTAAGAGTTCTAATTAAAAAAGACAAAAAAAAACAGCATTATAGGTTCAGGTACACTCGCCGCAAGAAGTTCTCAAACAGCTGACCACAACGGATTTAAGAATTAGTACTATGGCTCGTGTCATCTCAGAGTGGTTTGTATGCCTGATTACGAAGTGAATCTCAATATTTTGTAATAATATGTGTTGCTTGTCTTTATAGTATTTATAGGAGAAAAAAGTAATTTAATTTGCACTAAAACTTCCTCAGAGTCATGTTCAGATTTCTTGTTCATTGTCATATTGTATGACCCTTAGGGCATCCGAGAACTTTTTGTAGCAAGTGCACATTGAAATAACCATAAATGCTACAAACTAATTTCAGTAAAGACATGGAGGTATAACCATTAACCCTAAAAGATGGCCAAGTTAAGAGGTACTGTACTTACAAATCGACTGGTCTTTGTAGCATCAGCCATGGCTCTTGCTGTATTTGGTTCTCTCTCTATATCCTTTGGCTTCTGCCCTATCTTTATCTTGTAATTCTTATTATTGTCTACTTCAGACTGATCCTCCTGTTTTTCAAGAGCCTTCCACTTTTGTTTGGCGTCGTTAATACCCTCTGTGCTGTATGCTGGTATCACTTGCTTGATGTTCTGTTTTTGCTCTGCTTGTTCTTTTCTCTCCCAATTTTTATACCTTTCTTCAGTTTCTTTTTGTTTACCCTCCTCTTCTACCACATCCTTGATATTATGGTTGACTTCTTTTTCAGTCTCCTCTTGATCTTCCTCTATTTGGTTTAAATCTTCTGTATCTAACTCGCTTTCTTCTATCACTTCAACTTCCTCTCCTTCATCAACCTCTTCTATTAATTCCTCTCCTTGGTCAACTTCTTCAACCTCCTCTCTTTCGTCTACCTGTTCTGCAACTTCCTTTCCTTCACTTGTTTGTTCTTCAACTTCTTGATCAGCCTGATTAACTTCCTCTTTATTATGTACCTGATCTTTGACCTCTACCTCTTCTTTAACTTGCACAACTTCAGTTTCCTGTTCTTCAGCTTGGTGTTCTTGGTTTACCTGTTCTTCAGCTTGCTGTTCTTGGTTTACCTGTTCTTCAGCCGGCTGTTCTTCAGTATTTTCTTCTTGGACTTCCCACTTTGATTGGTCGGAAACAATGCAACTGACTGAACCTTCCCCGAGCTGCTCTTGCTGCGGCTGCTGGGCGTCTCCTGCAAAACATGAAAATTAATCACAACGAAATTTAGTTGTCTCAATGAAGTCATTATAATATAAGTTAATTCAGGAATTCAAATAAGGTTAAGGTTTGTATACATAATTCTATTCTTAATCTAATGTCAAGTAAAGTGAGTACAGAGGCATCATTAGAGTCTATCCAAATAATGCATAGGACCTCAATGTGGTGTCCCCAAGTCATTAAAAAGATTAATGACCTATATTAGACTATTTTCATCCTGAATCATTGACAAATGTACCGAGGGAATTCTATGATGATTTTATAAATGACAGTGAATATTAAAGTTATAAAAATTGCTTTTAAATACTACAACTGCATCCAGACCAAACAACCACATACTAATTGCTATAAGAACAGTCCAATTCCAACCATTGTAAACATTACCAAAAACTCAAAGTTAACATATGTGTTCACTTCCTGCCAATCTCAGTTTTGTACTGTAACTGTGCTGAAATTCTGTTATACAGTAATATCTCTGTTAGCCGGAATCCCTCAAACCCGGAACTCTCCAATTGCTGGAAATTAAATTTTCTCACAATTTTCCGGAAAATTACAGCTTTGGGAACGATTTTCCAAGGGGCACATTTCCCGGAAAATTCCAAGAAAAATTTCCTGATACCTAGAAAATTCTGGGGATGGGGGATATTTTTCCGGGTTCGATAGATGATGTAATGGGCAATTTCTGGAACTTCTGAGAAAATTTTTCCGTTACCCGGAAAATTCTGGGGAAGAGGGATTTTTTTCCGGCTTTGAGAGTCGTCTCATTACCCGGAAATCTCTCATTCCTGGAAGTGCTCTGCACCAATTGTTCCAGCTAAGAGAGAAATCACTATTATAATTGTGCCATTCCACAATTATGTAACCATCATCTCTGCTTATTGTATATTTGCAGCCTTTTGCTTGCCATGTTCTTTCAATAAACCAATAATTATTACTATTATTAGTAAAGTATTACTTTTATTACACACTCAACACAGACCATTTTCAACATCCCAAAGCAGCATTTGGTTATTTGACTAACAGTAAATGAGTAATAATCGCATGGTAGTGTAAGGTACTTTTGTTGTTAAAGGGAGGTGGCTTTCTGTTTGAAATTTGAGTTGAGGTTGATACAGTACAGTCTTTAGTTTTGTTTTATCCTCTTCGCCACTGATTGGCTCGTGTCTTATGGAATCATAATAGGAAATGAAGCAGTAAGTACCGTATATCACTTATGGTTTATACATTTCTGGATGATGTAATATAAGGTGTCCATAAATTATCTGACCCATTTTGAAACTAATAAACTAAAAAATATTAAGGGATATAACATGGTACACTTGTGGAAGGGTCAACACAATGAATGGTGTAAACGCCTTGGTTAAGGACGTTCAGGTGACGGGCAAGTCGAAGGGAGCATAACACAAAGTTCATAACTCTAATAATCTTAGCTTCGCTTCATTCTGCATTGTCTTATTACTCCAGGTTAGGCAGAAATAAGTAGGCGTAATTAGTCAACAATATTTCAGTACCGAGGGGTTCGTCATCACTTAAGCTGTACTGTACTTACAAGTGCAGGTCAATGGAGATCAGTATGGTGTTCCAAGAGACAACAGTACTGCATAAATTGTCCCAGCACAAATTCTCGGACAAGATTGTGAGTCGGTGTTCATCAGTGCAAGCAGAAGGCTGGTCTTCACAGTATCTCTAGTGAGGGCAATCTGTCTCATGGTGAAGCAGGCATCACCGCCACCAGTCGAAGACAGTCCACTCAGCAGATCCAGGACTTGTCTGTAAACACTTCTACATCTGGCGAGGTCACAGGTCGAAAGATTTAATGGCATCACACGCCAGCACTGTAGCTGAAGCCAGCGGCGATAACAAATGGTATTAGTGGTGATCCTTTTCCAAGGCTCCACATGCCTGCCACCTGTTCATGGGCTCCAACATATGCTTGTGTCGAATGGCTCAACCTTAAGTGTTCTTTACTTTTATCCTCATTGCCATTGATCGGCTTGTTAGTGCAAGGGCGGTCAGTCACATCTCTGTTACACACTGTTGGCAAGTACTGGCTCCTGAATGTATCTGAACCGAATCCAGTGTTGGTCAAGTCTCGTCTTGAAAGAGCTCACACTCGGTGCCATCAAAACACTCTCTGGCAGATTATTCCAAGAGTTCACAATTCTCACTCCAAAAAAGTTTGCTTTCACGGGTTTCTGGACTTGTGGCTTCTTCAATGTTGAGCTGTGACCCCTTGTGGGGCGAGCGTACGCTAAGCTCCATGTATGAACACTCAACTGAGTAGTGCCCTCTAAGGATGCACCGATACCCATTTTTTACCAATAACGATACTCCTTATATACTTATTCCAGTCTGAAGTACAGTACTATATAATCTTTAATCTGGTCTTATAGGAGGAAAAGTCTAACTATCCTTACTACAGAGATTGTTATTGTAAATATATGGTCGTCTAAGGGTTAAAACTAATTACTGTATTGCATTTGGTTACTACTGCATATAGGCAAATGTTAGTGTATGAATATATTAAAGGATGAATATCTGCTAAGTAAGGTGTTGAACTGACAACTATTCTCATTGCATAGGTAGCACAAAGCATATTTAAGATTACAGTACAGAATTTGTTTAAATAGTTTAATTTAATACTGAACAACTTTACAGTATTTGATAAAACTAAACTAATTCTGTTCTGAACTCTCAACTGGACATAGAAGAAGAATGGAACTATGAGCATATTCCCACTCAAGGATTGAACCAGTCGAGACTGGTCCCACGGCTGTTCTGGCGCAGCAATCATCTCCATAAGAATATCAAGAATTAGACCTGTCTAGCCCAGTCCAAAAAAACTAAGTTGGACCAGTCCAGATTGGTCCAAACAGGATTGCAAGAATATGCTTATGTTAGCTGTACAGTATTATTGCAAAATTTGGAGTTTAGCTTAGAATGGTCAGTAAAATTCTTATTTTTCCCTAACTTACAGGGCAAATACTGTATGTACAGTACCACTATTGGCCAATACTAACCTTACCGATACCGATTAATCAGTAATATACAACTACTGATACTATCTCCTTGCCAATACTGATTAATCGGTGCGTCTCTAGTGCCCTCCGAGATGTTTATACTGTACACTTAAATTAGGTCACCCCTTGCCCATCTACAGTATACATTAGGCAGTTGTAGGTGTTCTAATCTCTCTGGATAACTGAGATGCTATATTGCAGGGAACAAGCCAAGTGCCCCCCCCCCACCCTTTGGACATTTTCAATCAATTGACAGTCTCTTAACATATCTCGGGGACCAAACAGGGTGACAGTACTCCAGACAGGGAAGTATTCTACCTCACTCTTGAAGATCTTCTTAAAAAAAACCTACTAGTTTAGTTGCTTGATTCACCTTCTCACATTGGCCGAGAACTTCAGTTCATTGTCAACATACACACCCAGGTGCTTTTCACATTCGGTCTCTATTAATGCAGTTTCTTCATCCCATTGGGACAGGTGATACTCCTCCTTACTGTTGATACGACTTGGGTGCATCCTCTTACACTTTTTTCGACCATTCTTGAAGCTGACAACGAGATCTTTCTGTAGCTCTTCACAGTCTGTTTGGTTCTTAATTTCCCCGAATAACTTGGCAACGTCCGCAAACATTTGTACACACAAAATACAAACAGCCATACCTCCCACACACAAAATACAAACAGCCATACCCCCCACATACAAAATACAAACAGCCATACCTCCCACACACAAAATACAAACAGCCATACCTCCCACACACAAAACAGACAGCCATGCTCCCACACAAAACAGACAGCCATACACCCCCACACACACAACACAGACAGCCATACACCCCCACACAAAACAGAGAGCCATACACCCCCACACACAAAACATAAACAGCCATACACCCCCACACAACACAGACAGCCATACACCCCACACAAAACACAGAGAGCCACACACCCCCCACAACACAGACAGCATACACCCCCACACACAACACAGACAGCCATACACACCCCCCACACACACAAAACACTGACAGCCATACACCCCACACAAAACACAGACAGCCATACACCCCCACACAACACAGACAGCCATACACCCCCACACACAAACACAGACAGCCATACACCACACACAAAACACAGACAGCCATACACCCCACACAAAACACAGACAATACACCCCCACACATAAAACACAGACAGCCATACACCCACACACATAAAACACAGACAGCCATACCCCCCACACATACAACACAGACAGCCATACACCCCCACACACAAAACACAGACAGCCACACACCCCCACACACAAAACACAGACAGCCATATTCCACACACAAACAGACAGCCATACACCCCCACACACACAACACAGACAGCCATATTCCACACACAAAACAGACAGCCATACACCCCCACACACACACAACACAGACAGCCATACACACACACACACAACACAGACAGCCATATCCACACAAAACAGACAGCCATACACCCCCACACACAAAACACAGACAGCCATACACCCCCCACACACAACACAGACAGCCACACCCCCCACACAAAACACTGACAGCCATACACCCCACACAAAACACAGACAGCCATACACCCCCACACACAAAACAGACTGCTATACACCCCCACACACAAAACACAGACAGCCATACACCCCCACACAAAACAGTCATATCAACACACAAAACAGACAGCCATACACCCCCCACACACAAAACAGACAGCCATACTCCTGCACACAAAACACAGAGAGCCATACACACACAACAGACAGCATACACCCCCACACAATACAGACAGCCACCCCCCCCACACACACACACACATGCACAAACAAAGCCAGACACTTCCACCTATCAACACAGTCTGAGTCACATGCACCCTTCACGCCCCCCAGGACACACATCATACATTAATCACCCCCACATCTCACCCTCGACCACACCCACAACCAACACAATGTTTGCCTGTCATAGCCCGCTACCCTGATTATCTTGAAAAAATTATATATATATATAGAAAAATGCCAAGATAAGATTGCATCATACTTCCGATAAGACAGATAAGACAGCGGAAAAAAAGGTGTTCACAGGGCAATCTGCACACCTGTTTTTTTCCAAAATATTGTCTGATAACACGATGAGGGTGTACAGTTTTGCTAATATGTTTCTAACACTCCTCAAAGCAGATAAAAACTATCATAACGGACACTTAGATATTTGACAATGATAACATACTGTGTGGTGAAGGAAAGGCATAATAAAAATAAGCTGAGCTTGAAGATTTTGAGGACAGTACTGTACTAGAATATTAAGCTACTAATCTAAAATTACTATTACTGTAACTTAACAATTAAATAAAAATTTTTACCTGATATCTGATACCTAAAATATATGTTACTGAAATAAAAAGAATGCTAAAATTACTAATGACAATGTTGCATCAACACAAACTACGCTCCTTCAGCATGGGAACTGGAACTTAAACAATATGGGGATAATGAATTAAACTTATTTTTGAAACTTCATTCTGAAGTGATAAAAAATAGGGTTTACTGTATATAAAACGGTTATCTATAATAAGCTTCTGGGTTAGATTAGTGAACGACACCAGGCTCCTGACATCAAGATAAAGATTGATAAAATAGATAACGGCTGTTCTTAGTTACTCTTCATCCTGGTTAACCAACAAGTGGTGTGAAGTTAGTTGTAGTAATGATGGTGATAACAATAACTAAGGGAAAACATTAATGACAATAATAACTAATGAATGGGTATTTATGTTGAGCTCAATTTTTTTTTATACCTAAACAGTTGCTCCGGTATCCGAATGTTCCCATGGGCAAAAAATAAAAATCCATCCACCCACAAAATCTAACTACAAAATAATTAAAAATATACTGTAATTATTAATGTTACAATGATTCAGTTACTTTAGGAGTGTTACAGTAATACTCGTAAAGTAACTGTTACTGGCAAGTATACATTATTACAATTGAATTCAAAATATCATTAATGTACATTTTCGATTGTGACGATTATTACCGTACTTGAAATACCAAAACTATCCTAAATTTTAAGTGGCTTATATAAACATTACCCAGAGGCCACATATTCATCTGTGCTCAGCCGAGCTCTTAAGGGCGCTATTTTAATATACCAAACCAAGAATTTTAACACAAATACTACATATTTAGACACGTATAAATGCGATAAATTTCGACAAATTTGATAGCGAACCATAAATATTATTTTAAATAAAATTTTGATATGCAAAAATCAATGTAAACAAGTGGTAAAAACTACCTTTCATGTCCCCGACATTGTCATGACCTTCCATATTTGGTCACTGTCGAAATCAGGGGTTTTGTGATAACCAAGTTCACTTTAAAGCTCAACTGGGCTCACTTCAGCACACTGTGGGATCCCTCTGGATGGTTTGGACTCCAGCGGAGTTCAGTCGATGATCAACCGCAGGGCTCAATGGAGGAACACTGCAGGGCTTAATAGTTGATCACTACAGGGTTCAAAGGATGATCAATTGTAGGGATGCTGGGCTCAATGGGTACTCACTGCAGTGGTCAACAGAATCACTGAAATGGATGACCAGATCGTCTATCTTAATAAAGTGTGATATTCACGTGAGGTTGTAAGATACCAAGCCATGTTTCGGTCACCAAGCGACGTTCTGACCACCAAGCGATGTTTCGGCCACCAAGCGATATTATGTACTCTTAAAGCGACGATTTAGCTACCAAGCAATAGTTTTTGGCCATTAATCATTGTTCTGGCCACAAAGCTATACATAAGGAAGCAAAGTTTTGGGTAAAGCAATTTTCTGGCACCAAGCTAGGCTTTATACAAAACTTGGAGTCGAGGTAAAAAGATCAACGCTCAACCATTTTCGACCCCGCAAAATCTGAAAGCTAAGCAATTATTGATGTCATCCACTGCTTCTTTGTGAACCTCAAATAATCAGATTAATCAAGTGATACTGAAGACACCGATATTGTTGACACCAAACAATGCTGAGGGTATAGTGACTGTTGACAACAATACTGAGGTATTGTGACTGTTGACAACAATACTGAGGGTATAGTGACTGTTTACAACAATACTGAGGTATTGTGACTGTTGACAACAATACTGAGGGTATAGTGACTGTTGACAACAATACTGCGGGTAGTGTGACTGCTGACAACAATACTAAGGTATAGTGACTTGACAACAATAATGAGGGTATAGTGACTTGACAACAATAATGAGGGTATAGTGACTTGACAACAGTATTGTAATACAGTGACAGTACTGACAATAAGCAATACTAGATACAATGCGAATTTTGACACCAAGCAACAAGACATATACGAAGCAGCACCAAGCGATATGGATCCAGTTGTTGTAATGACACTATGATAATGTGACACTGACATTATTACACCATGTGATATTGTTACAGTGTGACATTATGGCGCCCAATGATATACTGTAGTACTGTATATAGTTATATACCACTGAAATGTTCTGGTAGCAGACGATATTGTAGCACAAGTGGTATTGTGACACCAAAAGGTATTGTGACACCAAAAGGTATTGTGGCACCAAGTGATCTCATGACACCAAGTAAGCCACTAACCAATATCTAGCTGCTAATAGCCACATACTGCACCACAACATGTAAAATGTTTTATCCATACAACAAACAAGCAAAGAAAACGTCAATCCATTAGCATATAAATCACAAAAAGTAACCATTAACATACAAACTCACAATTACATTTAAACCACCATTACCGTAAATACCCAAATACAATAATTAAGAGGACGACTTATTAGCAGTCACATCATATAAACAGTAACGAGCAAGAGAACCATTAAGCTGATAAATCCTTTAACAAATAGCCTCATTAAAGACTATTCTTTAGAGAATAATCAAACAAAATCTCCATCCATAAATATCGACATGTAGTTATCAGTTGGTACAGAAATATAGCTGATCTATCAACAAATACCAAAATACAGTACCATAATCATTCAGCTGACTGATCCATTAGTAGTCACGAATGATTACAATTAAGCTAAGTGAACCATTAGAATACCCATATGTGATCATTAGTCAGTCAGCTGATAACCCACACAGTCACGTAATATAGGCCTGATGGCTCTAGTCTTGAGGAACAGGGTGAAATACAACACACTGTACACTATGCCCTCTTCACTTCCCCAAGTGCAAAGTTAGGTACCCAGTTACAGCTGGATGACTGGGGCGCGCCCAAGACTCGAACCAATGACTATTACAAGAAACGAGAGCTATATCCATCCGACCGACGCATCTCCGCCACTACATTGGCTGTACCTATATGCAAGTAAACCAGAGGGTGTGGGTGGACCAAAATGAACTATGCTGTGAGTGTCTGTTGCCTCTCCCAAAATAAAGCTTCTCTGATAAAAAAAAACTGTAGTAACTATTTCACCTGATGACTCTACCTGTACCTCAATCTCCCACCTGGCTACTACACCTGTTCCTACTCTCTACCTCTACCTACACCCTAGGCTCCCTCCTACATCACATCCACACCTCTCCCACCAACCTCCTCTTTACCTCTAGTATGACCAGTGTTCACTTACTGATGAATTATTAAACTTAAATTCAAGCAAAAATAATATGTATGATGTATAAGCTCTTATTAGAAGGCTTTACTGGACTTGAACAGACTGCCACTTATCGGACAGTATCGAAAACCTGACTTCCTAAAATCTATATACGATGACAAAAATGTCTCTTGTGGCCAGAACATTCTCATATTCCGTTTGTATTACGGGCATAAATTTTCTTTAAATTTTTAATAGCTGGGTTTAAAATGTTTCAGAGCTGAGAGTCCAACTACGTATAATCAAGCTGCAAATTTAAACACCAACACACACTCACCCACCCACACACGCTATATGACATCAATAGCATTCGCACAAGAGAAATGCACCACCACACACTCGCCAACCATCCAGATATTCAAGGCAATAAAAATTCCGCAGAACTTTTAAACTATTCGATGACCAGTTGTCACCCTGGCTGTAGCCTCACCGTCTTGGCAACCCACCCCGGAAACCTCGCACCATACCCCAAATATACATGACAATTAATTCTTCTACCGCCATAAACGTCTTGTGACACACTAGCGTAACCCCGAAGTTTACACGACTCATAAGAACATACGAGTGGAGGAAACTGCAGCGGGCCTATTTGCCCATACTGGGCAGTCCCGTTTAACGTGACTACAAATGTTATGTGACACTCTAGCGTGACTACAAACGTTACATAACTCTAGCGTGACCCTATACACAGTCTGAACACAGGTTATGTTGGTGCGGGTGTAATGTGACCTCAAGAGGATGGCGCTTCACCTTGCACAAGATGTAAGGGGGTGCCCAATAAACTAGCCCCCGTACGGGGACAATAAATGGTGACCCAGGTAACCAACTAACTAAAAGATCACATCCCCAGACAGCAAAAGACCCCTCCCCATGGCAATGATGGCTGGTCGCGTGTAAAAGACTTAGTCACTCTACTAATCTCGTGTCTGTATTTACTTCCACGACACTTCGACGTCACCATCACCAAGGTCTATGGATCTTGATCATCACCTGACTAGCGACATCTACCAAGGCTTCACCAGTGACCTCTTTACGACGATTTTACAACACCAAGCTTTCAGAAAAAAATTCTCCACAAACCTATCGACACGAAAACTTACTGAGTATCATATTAACATAACGCCGACCTTGCACAACACAATAATCTTTGAAGTAGATATATTTAAAAGAAAAATGGGCCGAAGACAACTAAGAAAAGACATTCGTTATGTATATGAAGGATTGTGCTTCCATATAATAATAATACACCACTACTGTATAACTTTTTACTTATCCTTCTTTCACCCCCACATCAAGCTTGTGTCAATTTAAAACGGCATTTGGTTGAGTCAGAGGATTAATGCAATCAATTTTCTAGGGTCACACAAGCAAGTACCACCAAAGGTGAGGTCTGGGTAGGTTAGGTCAGTTACCTGAGGTCAGGTCATAAAGCAGACCATTGGCCCACTTCTGTTTAAGCTATCCTCTTGCCGAGTGTTTTACGTGATATCATCCCTTGGGAAACATCGAATTATGAACACACTACGCAAGACAAAAGACAAGAAATTCAACTCCCCAATTTTCTTCAATGAATATAAAAACTAGTGCAAGGTTGAAGATATATATGGGTACATTTTGTTGAACTAGATGACAGCTTTGATGAAGCTTGTATCAACAAAACCTACACATAATTTTTATACACGAAACCAATTTCGGTAAAAACGAGCATCAGTCCGATGAGGTTAATTTGTCGACAAGTACGTACAGCCAATCAGGTTGCCCACAAATTAAGCAATTTTCACATTTGTTCGACACTTTAGTATTAACAGACCACCTTACGACATTATTAACATCCATTCACGTTAACATATCAATCACGTACAGAAGGAAGGAGTCAAGAAGGAGATGGATAAAACGTGTAATAATAAGTAAAGGAAAAGTATAACGACGAGAACAATGAAGGTGCTAGGGAAGATACAATAAAGGAGAAGCAGAGGCCAAGACAAGAGAGATGTGCTGAATGGACTGGTGAGTAATGACTGCAAATTAATTTAAAAGAGAGAGATGTAGTTTAAAAGGTCACAAGATGGTCGAAAATGCCAAGAGGAAGCAGAGAATGACCCGGAGACCCCGACAAGACAACAGATGCGAGGTTAATAAAGCGATGAAGATGGAGAGGAAGAAAACGCGGAGAAGAGGAAGGAGTAGAAGGAAAGGAAGAAACGGTGGAAAAGCAGAAAAGGGTGGATAAGTGGAAGGTGGAGAAAAGATGGAGGTGGTGAGGCACAATGTGGAGAAGAAACAGGCTGCAGGAGGATTAATGTGTACCGAGGTTCATATTCCAGTAATCACGACTTACACACTCTTGCATGGTCGTGTAACCTCAGTACATTAAAGCCACGTACAGGAAGTGATAAGGTTTATCACTCAACTTGATACCCCCGATGGCATTTACCATTCTGGTAGTGTCAACCACAAAGTATTGTCACTATTCTAGCCTCGACCCTCCCTCCCTCCCTCTATTGTTACATTATTATAGGCCCGATCTCCCCGACTATTGTCATTCTCTAAGCCCCGACTACAGTCACTCCCCCAAGCCCCGACTCCCCGAACTAGACCGTGCAGACATTACACGTACTCTAATTTCCGAGAGCAATTCATCTGAAAGCATCATCACAAACGACAAGTGTTTCCAAAAACTGACCTATTCACAATGCTCTACCTTCTTATGACATCGTTACCATTATTATATTAGAAAAAATGCAGCGAATCTGCCTTTGCCGTCGCGACCGACTCCGCAACCAATCGAGTTGTTTGTGCTCTATTGGTCTCCAGGAAGTCAAAAGTTGGCAGGACTTTCGTTGATAGGCCAATCAAGTGTTGTTTTAACTTTCACAACATTTCAATATTCTTTACTTGGTGACGAAAGTATCCTCCCAGTCTCAATACATCAAGTTCCACG